AAAATGACAAGTCGGGTCGTTACATCCTCCTCCATTTAAACATACGTTCGTCCTCGAACTTGCCCGGAGTCGTTCCAAAGCCATCGAACCACTGCATGAGCTCACCATACATACACCCAGGGGTGATTCCCCATCACCCGACCTAAGCAGAACTGACAATGCAACTTAACTGAAGATCTCATCTCCTCCTTAGCCCATAACATTAGAACAGAACCTAAACCTCAACATCTGAAAGTCATCATCGGATCCGAATTCTACGTCATCACACTGCATGAACCTTAACAAGCTGAATAAACCAAATTCCAATCCAGAATACAATCATATGCTACTTCACATAACTCAAATGCCCGAAGCAATAACATCTTACCACCATAGATGCTCAAATAACATCCTGGATGCCGACAATATACTTCACATTGAATACAACCTTGTTTCGGACCTCCATATCACTGCTCATGATAAAGAAACATGTGGGAACTCATAGCCGCCCTTGAAGACAACAAGTCAAGAAGCTCTCTCGCCCGCCAAGGGCCATAACCCAAATCTTAGCAGAAACACCCCCATACTTCCAAACACTCCTCATCCCCGATGCCATAGTACTAATATCAGGTCTAAGAACCTCATCTCAGCGAATACAAATAGCACAATTGACAGCTCATCACGGAACCACACGGATTCTCATATTACACAGTTCGTACACCAAACCAACAATAACTCAATTATGTAGCACAAGCAAAGAAAAGTAGGGTATAAGAATTATCTAACGAGAACAACATGTGTAATAACAAAAGTGTAGTTCTTCTTCAAATCGTCCCATACAGTGAAAACACAACACCCAATGAACACAAGGAAAGGGTATCCCACATAACATCCGCTGCGGCATGTAGCCCGCTCCCAAATGCTCATCAAACCAAAATGCTCGAGCTCACTAAACATATGAATACTGATATCAAGTACAACAAGGTGCACAAATAAAACTGTGGAAAATAAATGAAAGTATTAACACATGAAAGAAGCTAGCACGATTAAGGTGCAATAAGCAAATTGACATCACGAGGGCTATCTCACCCGCATTGCCATAAGGCCTGAATAGAATTACTACCTGCGGGGGAAATAACTATACAACCTCACCGCCTAACATAGCATAAAAGAGTAGCACATATCATAGGCTAGGGGCACATGTAATATCCCTCCTACCTGATCACATGACAATCTCATAGAGGCACACAAATTTGCTCTGACACGACATACATATTCCCGTTGATCCCCCAAATACCCCACAACCAAATCCTAATTACCTCCAAATAGGTAAATATCCTTTCCAAAAATCCACAGTGACCTATCAATCATGCATGCTATTAACTATCTCATCCTCAATGGTCCTCCACCATCCGCAAACAGGAAATAATTCGCTTATGAGGGCATCTAGACCCAAAACCTCAGGAATACCAAAATTTTCATACTCTAACTCCACTATGCAATCAAATGGCTTATATATAACTTACACCCTATCATTCTACTGAAGCACTCATATAGAGTTTCTGACCGCGTAACAAAATATGAACCTCGAAAGCCTTAAAACCTAGTAATCACCCTGCTACTAGCCACGCACTGCAAACTAAAACTCAAGGTCCTTTCCAAAAATGCACATTCTTCACATATGATAGCCAACAATGCCAACGCTCTATTAATTTCATATACCGATTCGGGAGAAACCGCAATGTACCCTATATTCCTGATGCCCATAGTAGACACCTAACTCAAGCCATAGTCAAACCATCGGGAACCCTCCAAGATCCGCCCGCACGCAACCAGACCATCAGAACTGCACCTCCCCAACTCAACCGAGTCTCATAAACTGCCTAATCCAAGAGTGCTGCCACAAATGCCAGTAGAAAATTCCCATTTCAAAGGACCATTTACCTCCATGGCTATGCTAACCCAACACTACTAAACTGACTCATTTCTTTGGATAGTCGATATACAATAACTCCCATCAAAGCCCCACATGCAGATGACTCTAGCATGAACCACGTAGCAAGAAACTCATAAACCACCGCATTACATCTGAAGCACCCCGTTCTGCCGCAACCACGATACCCATGCTGAATAGACATCCTATGAATTTGAAGTTATTCCTCCAAATCCCCTTGATGCTGATATGTAGCTCCATTATTGGCGTAGAAATACTATAAGCCCCAACATCATCTTGTACGAGATCTCAGACCCTGGTCATACCCCAAATTCGGGAATCTACCAATACCACAAATTTACATACCTCATGCTAAGATTGATACAAATTTGACTCTGCAATCTGAATGTCGCTATTGAACTCCTCCACTTGGCGCAAAGCCATAGAAAACAATGTTTGATGATCCGCAAAACTAACCTTCAAAGCTCGTACAACACAAATCAAAAGGTACTCCAATACCACCAACTATTCCCAATCAACACCCACTTCGTGGCCTTGCCACAATCACGATGAGTAGCCGACCAATTAAACCTTCCCAAGCTCGCACTCATCAATCAGGTGTCGGAAACCGTTGCGCCTCCATACGAACAACTGAATAGTCTCTCAATGCCTTTATATCTTCAGTTTGGACAACACGTCGAGGTAATGCCCGAGAATCCCTGACTCATTTGTAGCCTATCTATAGCATCAGGAACCACTGGTGCATAGCGAATGTTGAGAGCATAATATTATACAGGAGTGGATGTAGAGGGACATAAGTCATATACTTCGAGCTGAATCAATATTGCATGATAGGGAATGAAAGAAGTGGAATTTCCTAACAGTTCTGTAGCCTCTTGAAGATAAGTACAGACGTCTCCGTACCGACCCGAAAGACTCTACTAAACCTGCTTATGACTCGTAGAACCCATAAACCTACAGCTCTGATACCAACTTGTCACGACCCAAAATCTCTCCGAAGGACTCATGATGTCTCCTAGTCTCTAAACTAGGTAAGCCTAACATTTATAGAAATAACATTAACATTTACTTACTTCAAATTAAATAACTCTCAATAAATCACAATTCCCAAAACCGGTGGTACAAATCATAAACCTTTCTAAGAGTAGTTATACAAAATAAATACAACATTGTTCCAGAACGAGAAGGAATCAATGGAATGTAAATACAAACGAAGGTGACTTCGAGGCCTGCAAACGCAACAACAGGTTACCATGAGTCTCTACTGCGACTACCCGTACAACTACTATCGATCAATGCCTGGATCTATACACAAAAAAATGTACAGAAGTGTAGTATGAGCACACCACAACAATGCCTAGTAAGTATCAAGACTAACCTCGGTGGGGTAGTGACAAGGAACAATCAAGACACCTACTGGTCAAATGAAATGAACAGGATATGATAATAAAAGATCGAGATAGAGTTAACGAGGTAATATCAATAGCGAAAAGAAATCAAAATACAAACAGTATGAACAGTAAAGGGAGAACACGGGTAGTAACGAACGATACCCAAGTAAATCAAATAACCAAGTAAATCAACACTGATATAACAGGAATAGAGACAAGTAAGAATGTATTCAATTAAAAAGGAATTGCCCACTCAATCAATCACATCAATAAATCGTATCGTGTCTAATACTCAATCCCGACCATCTCAATCCTTGGTTTCTCACATCATAATCTTAACTCCCGAACCTTCCACACGCATGGAACCTTGTGCCCCCATATTTTCCATCTCACTTTTGACAACAGAATCCACACGCTATACAATACATAATGTTCGCACAATGCACTCAATATATTCTAGAAGTCTCATTTACCTCATATAAGTAAAATTACAATTTCTAAACTAATTGGGAAAGCCAGCGAGAAATGATGAAGTTGTTTCTTTTGAAATCATTTGAGTAAAGAAAGTACCCCTTTTAATTTAAAAATACAACATCGAATGGATTATTACCTTTAACATGAGATTTAATAACTTAAAACTTAGTAGAAATTCTTGTTTAAGTAAAATACAACCTCAGACGGTTTCAAGGGGTATAATTGAGAAACTGACTGAATTAAGGTTGTAACAATTATTGGAGTTTGAAGTATTAGAATATATATATATACATATACATATAAATTTGGTGAGGTATTGAAAACATTGTCGGTTATAACACAAAGGATCACATCAATAAAGAAATTTAAACAGTTTAAACACTTGAATTGATAACAACAAATAAACACAGCAGTAAAAAGTGCACGGCATCACCATTCTTGCTTTTACTCTCTCGTTCTCACCATATGAGTTAATATTCACTTTTATTCTTTCTTCTTGCGGCATGCAACCCGATCCCAATCATATAGTACTGTTGCGGCATGCAACCTGATCCAAATCATGTAATATTGTTGCAGCGTGCAACCCGATCCAAATATAATGACGTTGCGGCGTGCAACCCGATCCAAATCATATAATGATGTTGCGGCATGCATCCCGATCCAAATCATATAATGACCTTGCGGCGTGCAACCCGATCCAAATCATATAATGACCTTGCGGCGTGCAACCCGATCCAAATCATATAATGATGTTGCGGCATGCATCCCGATCCAAATCATATAATGATATTGCGACGTGCAACCCGATCCAAATCATGTAATATTGTTGCAGCATGCAACCCGATCAAAATATAATGATGTTGCGGTGTACAACCCGATCCAAATCATATAATAATGTTGCGGCGTGCAACCCGATCCAAATCATATAATGATGTTGCGGCGTGCAACCTAATCCTAATATACAAATCAACACCAATCATCACAGCAAGGGAACAATAAGGAAATAACTATATCCCGATAAGAGAGTCAACACCAAGAATAAATACATCCCGGCAAGGGAACCAACAGTAAGAATTAAATATGTCCCGACAAGGGAATCAACTATAACCAAACTCATACCAATAATTAACTTCACAATGAAACCTCAACTAAACAACAAGACATAATAAGCACGTGATAACTACATCGGTATCCACAACAATTGGACATGTAACCTATTTGCACGAAGCCATAGAGGAACTCACAATCAAGAAGTATCAAAACAATAAGGAAGGCAATTACTTCAAGTAAGGCAAATAAGGGTCAATGTAACACGTAGGAATTAGAGGAAAGCTAGCAACATCATATGGAGCATATAGAGGTAATTTAAGCAATTAGGAAACTCAATCATAACGGAATACTTTTACATAATGAACATAAGGACCTAAGAACCCTAGAGCAAATTTTCCACAAATAAGTTCGAGCACACACTTGTCACCTCGCATGCACGGACTACAATTAGCATGGAAGACTCAAATACTAAGGGGAAGTCCTCCACACAAGGTTAGGCAAGATACTTACCTCAAAGTCGACAAACCGATACTTTAAAATGCACTTCTCGAGTAAAAAGACCTCCGGACGGCTCAAATCTAACCAAATTAACTTCAAAACACAAATAAAACACATAAGAAACTATTCCGGATCATAAAGTCTCAATCTTTAACAAAATCCAAAATTTGGTCCAAAAGTCGACCCCCCGGCCCGCGCCTCGTAACCCAAAAAATTTTACAAAATCTTAATACACATTCCAATATGAGTGCAACCATACAAAATTTATTAAATTCTGATACCATTTGGCCCATCAAATCACGATTTTTCATTTTAAAAATTTTCTTCAAAAAAAACTAATATTTTACTCAACCCAAATCACAAATTAGATGATAAAAATGAAGACAAATTCATGGAATATAATCAATTTTAGGTGAAGAACACTTACCCAATCGTTTTGCTTGAAAACCCCACAAATAATCGCCCAAAACCGAGCTCTAGAACTCCAAAAATGGTGAAAATGGCAAACCCTCAGAATAGAGTACTATTTATTCTACCCAGGTCTTAAAGCATCGCGAACGCGGAGGAAGTATTGCGTTTGCGTAGAAGAAAAATTAAGGCTGCCCTGTTGTGCTTCGCGTAGGCGACAACATGCATGTGAACGTGAAGAAGGAAAATATTATGGCCCAGAGATTGCTCTTCGCGAACGCGTGAACTAGTACGCGAACGCGAAGAGTGGAACAACATGACTACGTGAACGCGTGAGGGGGGGACACGAACGTGATGAGGGATAAAGTAGAGCTTCGTGAATGCGAGGCTCTAAATGCGAACGTGAAGAAGGATTTCCAGGTGGTCAACAATAAAGCTTCGCAAACACGGAAGGTGGTTCGCAATTGCGAAAGTGGATACCAAAATCAGAAAACAACAATTCAAAAACAAGGGGAAATGACCCGTAGCCCACCCAGAACACACCCAAGGCCCTCGGTACCCCATCCAAACATACAAACAAGTCATATAACCTAACACGGACTCACTAGAGGTCACAAATCACATCAAACAATGTCGAAACAATGAATCACACCACGAATCAAACTTAGGAACTTTGAAACCATCCAACTTCCAAAACTCGTGCCGAAAGCTATCAATTCAACCTGGAATGACGCTAAATTTTGCAGATAAGTCCAACATGACATAACATAACTGTTCTAACTCTCGGAATTGCATTCCCACCCCAATATCAGAAAAGTCAACTATGGGTCAAACTTCTCCATTTTCCAAACTTTCGCCGAAATACCTCAAATTACCCTACGAACCTCCAAATCGGAATCCGGATGCGCGCCTAAGTCCAAAATCACTATACGAAGCTGTTGAGATCACCCACGACCCGTTCCGGGGCTATTTACTCAAAAGTCCAATTCCTGTCAAATTTTCACTATTTAAACTTCCAAAACTAGGTTCCTTCTTCCAGTACGACTCTGATTCATCCGGAGACTGAATCCAACCATGCACAATATTCGATATACATAATGTGAATCTGTTCAAGGCCTCAAACTGTTGAATCGGGCACAATTGCTCAAAATGACCAGTCGGGTCATTACATTCTTCTTGTCTATAACATGTAGGAAAACTTCTTTATTTGGACCAGCCTGATTCACGTTTATATTTATTTCACCTCTAAGATAGCAAAAACTATTAGAATGAAAAAATAAGAAGCTTCAATTTTTAACTTCAACTGTGCCACTAAGGTTAGTCTAATAAACCGCAATCGCAATATTGTAATTAATAGCAGGACAAGTTGTTACTAGCACACAAATAGAAATACATAGGACAAGTTGTCGCTAGCATACAAATAATAGCTAAACCTGAGGAAAAAGCCTATTACAGAATAGAAATAATATGGCATTCAAAATTCTAAACAGAGAAAAGATTCATAAATGTTTAATATTAAATAGATGACACAGCAAAATCAAGAGCCAACTTACTATTCTCATCCAATATGATACACTAGAAATATTTGATGCTTGTTTTAGTTCATGGTCCAAGTGCATGAGTTGCATCTCCAAACAACAAACATTTTCTTTAAAGTATTTTCTGGATAAGCGCAACTGAAGAACAACAGGTGCAACAATACCTATTAATATCATAAAGATTCACAAACAATCTAGTTCATATATTTATTCAAAGATCTCATAAACTAAAGCAAAACTTTTTAGCATAAAATTAATTTAGGACTAACTAATAAGTGAAACGGACAAAGCAATAGACCAAAGTCGCTAATAGTGACACATAGAGATAACTAAAGAAAGCAATAGAAGCAGGGATACCACACAGAAAAAAGTGAAATGCATATTGTCATATTCATGTACAACAAAATAAGCTTTGAAACATCTTATTCATTAACAATAGCTGCTAAATCGTGTTGTTGCTTAAGTAATCTACAGTATTAATTATTTAGTTGATGCTTTTTTTAATAATTCATGAATATATATATATATATATATTCCAAATTTTATACAATTGAGAGAAGGAAAGCGTAATTCAATCAAAATATATTAAGTGGTTTCTTCTAAAAGCTAGTACCAGCAAGATATTCAGAAGTTAATATTAAAATGTTAAGCACTATTTGCACAAACATTACTATTAAAGTAGAATCTTTCGGTTCCAAAAATCTTATTTTTATGTTTTGGCCTTAGTATGACAAAACAAAAAGATCATGTTGATATGCAAATAGGCTTTCTAGTCAACTGTAACTTTATTTCTTTGGGACACTCAAAGGTGTTCATTGTGAAATATTTTCAAACACCTTCGGAACACATAATTTCTGATACTATTTAAAACATATCTAGCATTGATTTCCCTTGAAAATTCTGCAAAATCTAATTCAACATGTCACAAACATTTCAGCCCTAGGTAGTGCCAATAATTAAGAAAGAGTGAAAATTAATCAAGCACACACACTCACAAATAAAGTATATGGCTTCACTTGGAGTACATCTCATGAAACCCAAGAAAAATCCCAACTCGCTTTTCACAAACACATTTAGGGTAACAAATTAGGTATTAACCAGGTGATATTATTCACCCATTTATAAACAAAATTGCAGAGGAAAAAAAATTGGTAACTTACCCAAGCACATGGAAATATGTGGTGTCTCACATCAGTTGGTAAGAATACAAAGCAGGAAGATGGTGACTCTTTGTTGCTACTTTTAAATTACTCACCCTAGGTTGTGTGTGAATTGGAATGTGTACTGGAGAAGAGAGGGGGCTGGATATGTTCTGATGTTTAAGAGGCAAGTTGGAGGAATAAAAAAGGGTCTAGGGCAGAATAAAAGAAAAAATTAAAATCCAGTTTAGTAAAATACTAAAATTAGAAGAGGGAAAATCTAGTGGGAAAGTGAAACCGTTGCAATAGCCTAATTTTTCAAATAACCGTTGCTACTGATGAATCTATTATAACGGTTATGCTAACCATTACCGTAGATTTATTTTTGGCAACGGTTATTATACTAATGCAACGGTTTACTCTTAGAACTATTTCAATAGGGTGGAATGTCTTATGCAACAATGACAACCATTGCAGTTGATGGTCTATTGCAATGGTTATGTCACTGTTGCTAAAATATCCATTCCAATAAGCTTATTTTCTAGTAGTGTCGGTGCAGCGGTTTCCGACATTTGGTTGATAAGTGCGATCTTGGGAAGGTTTAATTGGTTGACTAGTCGTCGAGATTATGGCAAGGTCGCGAGGTGGATGTTGATTGAGGACGGCTGGTAGGATTGGGGTACCTTGTGATTGGTGTTGTGCGAGCTATGAAAGTTAGTGTTACAGATCTTCAAATGTTGTTTTACATGGCTTCGCGCTAAATGGAGGAGTCCACTAGCGGCGTTCAGATTGTATAGTCGGATTTACATCAGTTTTGGCCTGAGGTATGCATATAAGTGTTATTGGAAGGTTTTCGAAATTTGTATGTAACTAAAGGCTGAGATCTTGCAAGGGATAATATTGGGGCTTTCATAGGAGATATTGCTTATTGACTATCCAAAGAAATGGGTCAGTTCAGTAGTGATGGGGTCAGCATGGCAATGGAAGTAATTGGTCCTTTTGAATGGTAATTCTCTACCGGCATTTGTGGCAGCACTCTTGTATTGGGCGGTCTATGTGACTCGATTGAGTTGGGGAGGTGCAGTCCTGATGGCTTAGCTGCGTGCGGGCGGAGCTCGGGGGTTTCTCGATGGTTTGGTAACAACTTGAGTTGACTGTCTACTATGGGCATAAGGAATATGTGGTACATTGTGGTTTTATCCTGAATCGGTATCAGGAATTAATAAAGTGTTGCCATTGTTGGCTATCATATGTGAGGAGCGGGCAGTTTGGGAAAGACCCTTGAGTTTTAGTTTGCGAGTGCGTGGCTAGTGGCATGGTGATTACTAGGTTTTGAGGCTTTTGAGGTTCATATTTTGTTATGCGGTTATAAATTCTATATGAGTTCTTCAGCAGAATGATGGGGTGTGAATGATGTATAAGTCATTTGATCTGCATAGTTTAGTTGGGTATGGAAATTTTGGTATTCCTGAGGTTTGGGGCTAGATGCCCTCATATATGGACTATTTTCTGTTTGCGGATTTTGAAGAAATATTGAGAATATGATGATTAATAACATGTATTATCGAAACGGGATTTGTCATTACGGTCAGAAAATTTCAGAGAATATTCTTTAAAAGATTGTCACTGTTGCCGCTAAGATTGTCACTTTAAAAGATATTCTTTAAAAGAATATTCAGAGAATATTTTCCGTTGGTTGTTGTTGTTTCCAGATTTTGTCTTGATTTTAAAATCTGTCACTAAGTTTCTCGTCGCTGGTTGTTACTAGTTGCTG